TAGTTGCAAAGTGTTTTCCCCAAGTATATTTTAATAAAAACATGTGGACTGTCTTCTTTCAATCTGAATATATTCCAAAGCATTTAGAATAATTGAATTAGGGTGCTTTGGGTTGCAAGCAACAGAAATCACACATGAACAAAGAAAAAGGTACTATATTTCCCTATGTATAAGATGCTCCCATGTATAAGATGCACCTTAATTTTGGGGCCTGAAATTTGAAAAAAATGTATTACATAAAGTTACTGAACTCAAGTTTTATTCATCATAATATTCGTACAATTCCTCATCACTTGTGGGAAACACAAGTAAAAAAATCTACAACCACTCTATAAGACGCACCCAGTTTTTAGACCCCAAATTTTTCAAAAAAGGGTGTGTCTTATACATGGAGAAATACGGTAGTTTATTGAAAGGCTCTGGGGTAATTCCAAAACAGGATGATGTATTTGCTTGAAAAATCCTAAAGAAGGGCTCTGATTGGCCCAATTTTGATCATTTTCCATCCCTCAACCAGTCATTGTGGCCAAGGAGCTAGTGTCCTACCCCCTGGCCCAGTCTCAAGTCTGCAGATTCTACCAATCAGAAGAAAAGGAAAATAGCACATCGGGCCACTGGGAAAATAAATTTGAGCCAGGCTGACTTTCCATTTGTGATTATAAGAACAGGGATGAAGAAAATAAAGAAAAATTACTGACAATCTTATCACCCTGAAATTAACACTTTTGAATGAGCATTCTATTACGGTTTGCTCATTTGCACATGCACACATTTTAATATACAATTACTGTCATAGAGCCACTTAAAAAATACATGGTTTGGAAATATATCTGAAGAAACAAGCTTAAAAATACAGAAACAATGCTCATCTCTTGGGGACCCTTGGGGGTCTAGCCCTGCATAGGGAACTGTTTCTATTCCTGAATTTCCTTAAGAAATGAAATACAACCCATGCCTCTGGTGGTATAAAATATCAAATACCATCAAAATATCACTTTAAATGTCTACACTACCCAAAATGGGCTCTACCTAAGTTCTTTTCAGGTACAAGATCTGATTCAAATATAGGCCTGCATTTCCTTTCATTTGTTTGTTCAGCAACATACAGAAAGTGTCTGTAGACCAAGCACTATTCTAGGCTCTGCAGAATTGGTAGGAAACAAACAGCCTCTGTGGAACCAGTAAAACGCTGTGGATGGGTTATTCCAGGGTAATAAGTAGGTGGATCATCCAAATGATCAAGATAACATTTTAAAAATAATTATTCCAATTCTTTATAGTCACTGTATCTTATGAAAATTCATAGTAAATAAAACATTTAGAGTAGCCAAGTAAGCCTCAGGAAGAAACTACAGGAATTTTAGCAAAACAAGGCCTTGGTAATTATTTTTTTTAAATGATGGAATAAAATATCCTAATAATAAAGACCTTTGCTTATCAGTACTTTGGGTAAATGTTTAGGTTTTGTTAATTAATTTCCTCACCTCAAAGGATCGCAATGGTTTTCGCCAATGCATACACAGCTATTACATGGCCTTTATTTTCTAGTATCATGAGTACATAAGAATGTAGCTCCACCCTTACAGGATGCAGACATTATACAATGAAAGAAAAACTTTCATTTTTATGAAAAATAACTTTTCGATCTTACAGTTTTATTCTTCTCATTTGGAACTTTATGCTTTTAACTTAATTATTATTTTTTTATACTTCTTACGCTTCTTCCTGTTTATTCTTACATTGTTCCATTTTCAGTTTCTTTCTGAAAAATTTAGTCTATGAATTTAACCTCTGAGTAAAATCCTGGCAGAAGCACATCGATGATCTCATGTTCTAAATACTTTGTAATTGTTTTACATTTCCTCCTTGGTTCCACAGTTACTTAGTTTTATCTCTAAATAATTGGAATACTTGTCATTAATTTGGGATGTGGTCAGAAAACATGATACCTTTTAGTACTCTTTGAGGAACTTACTGTTATTTTTCATTGTGCCTTAGTATATGATCAAATTTTAACTGCTGTATATACTTTAAAAGGTGATATCTTCTCTATTCATGGGGGCATAAAGTTTAACATATATTTCTATTGACCTAACCCTATTACTTATTGTCTATGTCATTTATCAAATTGAAAGTAAGGGGACAAAGCCTTCTTCGACAACTGTTCTGTTCATATCTTCTGTATTTATAAGTGTTTACATTTTAATATTATGCATTTACAACATAAAGAATTTAACTGTCTTAATTCACGGTGATATATTCCCTTTGTCAAATGTGGAACATTTGTTTTACATAAAAAAGTGTATTTAAGACAATTATTTAGGTGTATCTTTTTATTTGACTTGTTTCCGTTCTTACTTTCAGTCCTTTCCAATTACGACCGCCTCATCCTTGCTCTCATTTTCCCATTTTCCTGGCAAATATCTTTCATTACAATATTCAGATAGGCAGCAAATATCAGGGTTTCTAAATCTTTGCCTGTATATGAATATTTTCTATTTATTTCCAAACTGGATTTTCTTGGAGGGCATCTCATAGTCTCCAAACCTCATGCTGCTATGGAAATTCCTGTTCCTGATCCCTCAACTAAGACTTCCTGCTAAAGGTCATGCTGTGTGCCTTGCTGGTTAACACCCATCAGTTGTCTTCTCAGGTGTGCTGGGAATGGGTAAAAGTTTGGGAACAAGTCTTTTAGAATGTAGTGTCCATTGACAAGGCTGAGGCTACGTTGTGTTTCACCAGCTACCTGACTTTCTGCTCGGAGGTTGCTGACTGGGCCTGGGCCTGGGCCGAGGCCATCTCTGTGGCTAGTGCTGGATGGCACTGGGGCTGGCAGTCCCTCCGGAGCCACATGCGGTGGGGAGAGGGAGTTCTCTAAACAAACGGCAGTGCTGTTACTAGAAGGTGGGGGTAGGAATGCCAGGCAGCCAGAAACCACACGTATCTACCACAGACAAGCTGATGGAAAGGGATTTCACTAAGCCAAATGGGACCCCTATAGGACGTCATCTCAGGATTCTCACCAAGAGTTTTTAAATTATGTGGCTTACACCTAAGTGATTGGACCGAGATAATTTCTGGATCTTGTGCCTCATTTGTTTTTCTAGTACACACAGGTCTATTTACTTAGCTTGGATAATATCTGTCAGTTGTATAGGATATGGATGTCATATTTTTTTCAAATGGAACTGGGGAATTTAAACTATAGAAGGTTATATTCACTTATCTATCCATGTTGTCACCGGGAGCAGACTTATACTAAGACTGAGCAATGGGGGGATTTTGAATTTGGCATTCATTTAACATCTCGGGTGTCTTCTCATCACTGTTTTCTTATTTCTACAATATGGAACATTTGTTTCAGGTAAATCAATGTATTTAAGACAATTACTTAGATGTACATGTTCATCTTGTGCCACAGGCTGAGTTCAGTGTTAACTGTAAGTCATTTATTTTGGAGGGGAATGGGTATTTACTGGTAGGGATGGCAGGGCTAGCTGGAGGGGGAAAAAGGCCTTCACGCCCAGGCACTTAGTGCATAGAATTACTCTCACAATTGTCCTCATGCTTGCTATTTCAAAAACAAAGTTAAAATACAATTAAAATAGCTAAGGGAAAATTCTTATAATACCAAATGAATAGAAAAAAAAATAGTATTAAAGAGTTATAATGGCAATATAACTTAAAATAAGAAACTTCAACTAAACTTATAAATATCAACTAAAAAACTAAGTTCAACTAAAACAAATACGTTCACACAGAACCCACTGTAGGCCCAGATGTGGTTGACTACCGCATATTTTCTGCCCTGCTGGGCTGACCACGTGCGTGCAGAGTTCCCAGCAAGGATGCCTGGAGCCTTAGTGGAGAATCAAGACCAAAGCCAAGGTCCATACTGAGTTTTGGCGTCTTAAACTCAGCAAGTCCTGTACTGTAAGCCAGCTGGATTCCCTAAATCTTTTCCAAACTTGTTGCTGACATGTACATCTTTTCCCATCCTATACTATACAGGTGTTTCTATTTCGAAACCAAGGATCGGGCTTTATTTTTATCCCTAACACATGCTTTGGTTCTTTACTTCAGCCCACTGCTATCAAGAATCTGTGATAAAGTGTCTTTCTTTCTTTTACCTCCAAGTTTATAAATGTCACTTTCTATATCATCCTCCAACTATCTGATAAAAATAAGTAGGACACAACTTTTTAACTTGTAGTTTTAATGTAATGTATACACTTGCAATCCTAAGACAACGTGTCTATTTTTCTCAGTATTTATAGAGAAAGAAAAACACTGTATGACCCTGTTTCTGTGTTTTGGGGGGTGGATCTTTCTGCTGCAACTGGTGAGAAGAAACTCTTCTGGAATCTGTGGGATGGAATTGGGTCTAATAGCACCACCTCTGAGGGCAGGGCCAGGAAGAGGAGCTCAGCAAGGGGACTCCTTAGGCTGCCCAGGCCTGTCTGAAACTATGGCAAAGGGTGGAAGAGGCAAAATAAGAAACAAGATGCCTTGGCAACGTCTTCAACATGGAGGCTTCCTCCTGTCAGAGCCTTTTGTTGCTGCTAATGTTGTTTTTCTTTTAAACTATTTAATAATATAAAGAACACGGAAAAAAATATTTGCACAAAATTTGCAAAAAAATACAACTATAGCAAAAGCTTGGCACCTTTAAAATTAAAGACAGGCGCAATGCTGTCCCATCTCCCCAAATTAGGAAAAGGGGCAGCAAGGATGATCCTACCCACCATACTCGGGGGAAAAAGCATGTATGTCGAATCAGTATACCTTGTTGAAACAAGAGTGGAGAATGAGGAAGAACACTCCAGAAGTTTTATCAACATACAACCACCTTGGCCATAAACAACTAAACCAAATACAATAAAGTTGAAAATGCAGTATTTCTAAACATTCCATTTTTTACTCAGATCTAATTAACAAGTTAATCTATTACTCTGCAACAAAAATTCTTTTTACTAATGGAAAAAAAAGGACACACAACCTGAAGATAATCTGATTTTGCTTTATTGAATACTATCCCACACCCAATATTTACAAATGTAATTAAGTGGAATTTATAAGACTATTATATGGAACATTTTAAAAAGTTAATCTGAAACACTCTGAATGGAAATCATCAATTCATGAGTTAATACAATAGCTAATTTATAATTTTTCAGCCAATATCCATCATGATTCATTTCATAAAAATTCTATTTTCAAGAAGAGATAAGTCTGAGGAAATATAAAAAATTCAGAAAAATATTTCCGTATCTAGTCAATCTTCCAGCTTTTCTGCAAAAGAAATCAATAACAATTATAGACATTCTTGCAATCATGAATTAAATACAGATTTTTCTCATGACAACTTTCTTTAATGCCATATTTAACTTTTAGTACAGAAAACCTGTTTTCTTGATAGGTTTAAATATTTATTTATGTTTAAAAAGAATACACGTTCAAATTTAAAACCAGCACCTAAACTTTATGTTAAAAATAACAACAAGTCATACGGCCACACGTTCTTAACCTTGACTCTCCATTATGGATGGTCCTTGGAAAGGGACAAGATGGACAACACAAAGAGGAAATCGCCTAACCTGTCCTAAGTGTGACTTATTGTAGAAGCCAGTTACTTTCACAGACATTAAGTGGACATCAGAAATACAGCATCTACCTCTGCTTGTCTGAGAGAATAGCGGCACATGTGGACTAATGGCCCTGACTTCCATCATTAACAACATCCTCAGAATAGAACTACAAAAAGTGTGGGGCTCAGAGTGGCAGAAGCAGGGGAGAAAAAGGGGCATTATTTTCTCTATCTGCACAAATTTAAAGGTCAATCTCTCTCTGGTTTTAGGTGAGCTAGTTCTACGATCCATACACAGAATTAAAGAATATAGCACTTCTTATCTTTAAAAAAATATGGCTGTGTTATTATTCTCCCTTTCCCTTTGAAAGATCGTGGTTCTTCAAAATGTATGATTATAATTTTGGACAACCTACATAATAACATATAAAGCAATTGATCCTATCTATGCATTTTGAACCATTTCAAAAATGCCAAAGATAAAATCAGTGTGTCGGTGACAGCAACTTCCATAGCATTAAAACCCTTAAAAAGAACTTAACGGTTTTTAATGGTATTCATTGTTGCTAGACTAACACTGCTGAAGGGGCATACAAGCACAACTTAGAAACTGGAATGAGTAAACATAATTTATTATCCACAATTTAAAACCACTCACTTGCCAAAAAGATTCCGGAAATGATGGTGGTGCTGGATATTTTTTTTAAGTAAAAATGTCCCTTATCCACAATTAATAGATTTCCTGCTTAACAAACTTATTTTTCAGATAATATAAATTCCAACTTCAGAATCTTATAGGTTACCATGTAATCGAAATTGCTGGCGTCCAAATTAATGGTGCTTGAAGGGTCATTTGAAATAACAGATATTACCCCTATTAATGGGGAGTTTGAATAGCTAATAAAAATATACAGAAATGAGGGTATAAGTTCGAACAACAGGGTGAGGTGTATTTGCAATCACACCACAGCAGAGCGCATCCTCAGCTAGTGCTTATTTAATGTTAACAAATGCATGCATCTGTTTTAGAAATTACAGCAATCAGAGAATACATATGCTTCACATGTTTCTATTAAACAAAAATATATTATAAATTTAATTTTTTTTTCCCGGAAACCTACATTTTGTTCTGAAAGTTGCCACTTACCAAAATACAACACATTGATGCCCACTGTTCCTTGAGTAACAGGACATTATCGTCGGGGACACACACTAGCTTTCTCAAAATACAACGCAGACTTACCTCTGTGGTCAATACTTGATCATTTTTCGAAGGGCATCATAGCACTTCCATTTGTCTGGGATGTAGAATGGCTCAAAAATGTGAGGAAACGGTGTATCATACCCACATACTCTTGATATAGGAGCCTCCAGGTTCAGGAAGCATTCTTCCTGCAGGGAAGAAGACAGATGATTAACTTTAAGATGTCTTTTTATTTGCTGAGATTAAATATTTCAACTTAAAATACAATAGCATCTAAGGGCATTAAAATAATTAAGTATATTATAATGTGAAAAAAAGCAGGTTAAAAAAAACAGGTAACAAGTAGCATGTTTGGTATGATCCAAGTTTTATTTAAAATATTTTCATATATGTATACGTATTTTATGCCCACATACACAGCTATTGTTTAAACCAAATCGGGATTATACCAAACATGCTGACCTACAAATACAAATGTAAGGAAAATCACAACAAAATGTTCACAGTAAGCTCTGCAGCTTGAAATTAGTGGTGGTACATGTTTTCTTTTGTTTCCTGTATTTTTCAAATTTTATATACCATAAACATATATTGCTTTCATAATAAATATTTGTAATTATTCTCCGCAGCCAGCCTGTGTCCCAACGACGTGACTGTGTCCTGGTTTCTCTCATAACCAGGCTTTTTTTAGATGCCTTCGGTCCCATGGCCAGTGATTCCCCAAGCCCCACTGGTCTCTGTCTGACTGATCTGTACGCATCTCTCACGTATAACCTTAGGAGTCACCTCCGCAGGAAGCCGTTCTTGACACCTAGCCAACCCTACACCACCCAGGACAAAGGAAGGGCTTCTGCCCTGAGCCCCCACACCACTGTACCAAGCACACTCCACGGTAGCAGCCCGATTATCTGTCTCCCCTGAGAGGCTATGAACTTCACGAGGCCTAGCCATCTGGTGTAAACATGTAACATATCAACTATAGAAAAATTCTGTAATAAGTCGTCTTTGGGGGAGGGAGGAAATGTTATTCAGGTGACAATTTCAATTAAGAAAATAAATTTTTAAAGAGTTAAAAAAATCTAAAAAGAGATATGTGATTCAACTTTTCTGAGGAAGATGATATTAATTTTCCCATTTACAGCTATTACCTGAAATAAAACCTCTGTGTGTGTTTTTTTATATATACCCACTTTATGTATTACCTTGCTTCATAAAGAACTTGAAGAGGTTCACATTTTCTTAAATATTTTACTAATTGTGTTTTTAAATTTTCATTTGAACGGAAATTTTTACTTGAAGGAAACCTGATGCCTGATACTCAGTCCTAACCTCCGTGCATATTGCTTCTCGTGACAAGTATATTAGGGCAGAAAGGGCCCAGGAATAGGGCAGATTAGCAAAGGGCACCAGCTGAACATTTATACACCTCTCCCTGCCCCCAATAACCACTGTGACTTACAATACCCAACACCAAATAAGTAAGTGTTGGTTTTCCTAGCAACAGAAAATCATGAACAACTTGAGAACCTTGAATACATAGGTTTAAAGAGTCACCTAACAAATTCCACCACTAATAAGCTCAAAAGAGATGAAAGATTGAGTGGGCTGTTTCTTGATTGCAACAAGTAATTTTAAAGGGGTCAATTTAGGGTTAACTCAGTTTTATTACTTTAGTTCACATGGGCTGTTTTGCCATCTTCCCTGAATACTGCATTCTTCATAAACAAGCTAACCATGGGCACTGAAAAATACAGAACATCAAGGGCAAAATATTTCACTAAGTGCCTTTGATTTTGCACTTGTTATAAAATATTTTTCTTTAGAGCTAGTACCCTAGAAAGCTGCCTACCACAAAATGATCTGTCAGTGTGAAAATCATTCCTTTTAGCATAATGACTAAAATTATCAAACTAATTTTTTCCCCCCAAATAGCAATGTTTCTAATTCCTCAAGAATGAGAATCTTTATAGGAAAAATCTATATGTTTGCACCGTCATAGAAAAAGGTTAGCAAGGTCACACTTGAACTGCAAACAGTGATTATTCTTTGAGGCTGAGTGTGGCAATGAGGTGGGGAAGGACTCCACTTCTTATTTCATAAGTATTGTTAGAGTTTTTATGGCACAGTATTAGTTTTGTAATTAAATGGCATTGAAATAAAGTAAGAGTAAAGTGAAGAATTATCTTCTAATGTGAATAAAGTTTCCTATTTTATGTTACAAAAATTTGTGATTTTATATGTAGTACTTTCTTAATTTGGAAACAATTACTATAAATTATGTGGAATTATATGATTATACCATACTATGTGTAAGTATATAAAATGTATTGTAAAAATCATGGAAGATAATTCAAGGATATAGAAGACTATGATTCAATTTTATAAGGTTATATACCCTGACCAATTGAAACAGTTTGAAATTTTAACACCTTGTTATAACTGAAGTATATTAAAGAGACTTAAATTATTCCTTCCACAACTTGTGTTAAAATTTCTTTTAAAGCAATTAGAAATAAGATGTTTGGGTCAAGCAGCTGTACAGAATTACATCCCACTGAACTGCTTCACACTGAATACACACACACTTAGGAAAAGAAATATTAATCTCATGGGCAGGTTTATTGATGAACGTACCCATTAATTCTCTACAAAGTATATCTCTCACTTCATTGTATTCCACATTATGACACCATAACTATAGCAATCACATGTCCTAAATTTCCAAAACAATCCAGATTAATCATATTCTTCTTTGTAGTCCATATGCATGCTCATATTTTAAAAACCATGTTTAATGATTTTTGACTCAGAAATAGTAATCCACATAAAATTAGGAAGAAATAAAGTAGATAGTCCTTCCAAAAGACCCTTGTGTGGAATTCTATATATGGGATTTGAATTTACTTCTAGATATGTCTTTTTGTAACTAAGAGAGTTTTCTTTTTAAAATATGTGAATAAGAATAGTAAACAGTACTTATAATACAGCAGGCATGGTGCTAAATGAGTTATATTTCATCTCATTTAATCATTTTAACAAATCCATTAGGTAGGTATTATATTCCACTTCAGAGGTGAGGAAACCAAGGTGAAGGAACTTGTCCAAGGTCAAATAGCTACATACATAGCCAAATAAGATTCAAACCTGACTACAAAGCCCATGTTCTTAGTCACTCTTCTGCAGTTTTGAGGCACTACTATTGAGAACGTAATAACAACAACAAAATAAGTATAATACAAATAAAAAAGAATGGTGAAATGGAAGGCAGGCTGGGATCAGGTTTTACAACAGAACCTCGAGAGGTATAATAGGTTAAGTTCTGTCCAGGAAGCCCCTTTCATATATATATATATATATATATATATATATATATATATATATATATATATATATATATATATATATATATATGGAAGGTAGAGGCTAATACATGTGAAGAAACTGAAAGCACACACAAACATGAAAGTAACACCCAGAGAAATAAACAGATGGTTCTGGGTATCAGGCTATCCTAAATGATTCAAATAAGCATAACTCAAATTATTTCCTATTAGCAATCTGGCTTGCTATGTATATTATAACCAGAAAAGGAAACAATGTGAAATAACAATTCCAAATCATAAAAATCACAGACATAGGCAAAACAAATTATTTGCCTATTTTTTTTTAACAAAACAAAACAAATTTAGTAGTACCTTGTTGAAATTGCAGGGGACAGAGATCCTGTAAATTTTCTAGCAGGTAAAAGAGGGTAAGTAAAAATAAAATGATCCAGGGGTCGACCGAGTGGCTCAGTTGGTTAAGAGCTTCCTCAAGTGTGTGAGCTCTGAGCAACAGCAGTGCTGGTTCGACTCCCACATGGGCCAGTGAACTGTGCCCGAGCTGAGCTGCCGCTGAGCTGCCAACAGGTGGCAGGATGGCTCAGCAGGTGAGAGCACGAGCTCCTAACAACAAAGATGCCTGTTCGAGATGGTGGGCTACGCCTACCCACAACTAAAGACTGAACTCGGCACTTTGAGCTGAGCTGCCGCCCAGGTGGCTCAGGGGATAGAGCATGTGCTCTTAACAACAAGGCTGCTGGTTCCACTCCCGCATAGGATGGTGGCTATGCCCACAGCACCTTGAGCTGAACAGTGTGACCAGACTTAGAGCTGAGCTTCCTGTGCCCTCCACAACTAAGATTGGAGGACAACTTGGTTGTTCCCTTCCCCAATTCCCCGATAATAAATAAATAAATAAATAAATAAATAAATAAATAAATAAAATAAAATGATCCATTGCTTCTCGGCCTTTTGGCTAAGATCAAGTGTAGTATCTGTTCTTATCAGTTTAATATCTGATACATCCTCTATCCGAGGACAATATATTAAATGGATTTTTGGAATTAGGAGATGGAATAGGAGCTTGCTCCGTCCACTTCACACATCGACCTGGTATTGCAGTACTTCTAGGAACGGTGCACCAAAAAAAAATAATAATAATAAATAAAATAAAATGATCCATTATTGTTTTAAGATAAATAAATTATTGATCGTTTTTTAAAAAATTAATTAATTGTACTGTAAATATTCCTATTTGTTGAATGTAAAATAGATTGTATATTATATGTATGTGTATGTAAATGTGTACATATTAGGGCTTCTGTGGGGTCACTCAAGATCTCTCAACACATAACCCCATTTCCCCATTAAAGTTTTAAGTACATCAATCATAAATTCTCCTGTCACCGTGTCACAGGAGTTACATCCCTGAAATCCGTCTCAGGCATTCCACACTGTGGTTTCAGTCATTCTCAACAAATCTTTTTGTTGTTTTTATGGCAAAGCTACAAAACATAATTGATACAGCATGGAGTTTGGAATACTGTCTGAAGGGAATCTATGTTCTACTGTGATTTAACCTCTCAAAGCTTTTGATTACTCAATAGCAAAACAGAAGTATTAAAAATTCTGCTATTTTATCATCCTATCGTTTTGTAACACTATTATTACCTTGCCTAGTTGTCTTTCTAGATTGTGCATTACCATGTGAAATGTACCTAGTTTCATGCCTGACACATCATAGTGCTCAATAACTGCTACATTTTTGTTTTCCTCTTAAGATTTTCCAAGTTACAATAAACACAAGGTATTTGAAATGGTAGACCCAGTCATCATTGTGGAAAAGATTCTGGTATACAAAACGCTCA